TGAAACCCAATGTAGCTATAGCTTTTGTAAGACGTGTTTTTCAAAGAATATGTTCATAATCATCTAAATTTTCAATTGCATAGGCACAATATTGTTCATAAAATTCTCACATTACCTCATTAATGTTTGCCTTCTTATTATTGATCTTATGTTCTTGATTTGAACACCTTCTTTTTCTCTGATGTTTATCAATTTAATTGATTTATACAAAGAGCCAATTTTTCATCTTATCTATTGCATTTTTTTTCAATTTCAGTGTTTCCTGTGGTTATGATTATAATTTTATTTTTAATTTATTTGGCATGGATTTTCTTTTCTTTTTCTTTTTTAAAATTGATTTCAGAGAGGAAGGGAGAGGAAGAGAGAGATAGAAACATCAATGATGAGAATCATTCATTTTCTGCTTCCTGTATGCCCCACAGGGGGGATTAAGCCTGCAACCCGGGCATGTGCCTTGACCTGAAATTGAGCCATGACATTCTGGTTCATATTCCGTCGCTCAACCACTGAGCCATGCTGGCTGGGCAAATTTGCTTTTCTTTACCTCCTTGAGATAGGCTTTTCTTCTTTTATAATATATTCATTTAGGACCCCACATTTTTCTCTAAGCATTGCTTTAATTGCAACTCAAAATTTTGTTTGGATGCATCCTTAATTTTACTCAGAAGTACTTCCAAAAATATACTTCCATCATTGTTTTTCCTTTAATCCATGCAGTTGCAAGGGAACCACATAGGAGAACAAATGCTGTGCCAACAAGGATGGACTGTGCCTGGCTGGGACTTGTATGTGCTCAGCCTCTTTCCTCACCTCCTTGCTCCTTATCACAGGTAGCCCGTCAGCACAGGCTGAGACTCCCAAGCTTTTCACAAAGTGGCTTCTAGCGCACACTGGAAGGACATTAGAGGGTGAGAGGAAGGGAGAAGCACTGTATTTCTCCACCCTCTCTCTACCTGGAGCACCATCTCCTTCAAGTTCCAGGTTCCCTCCTGAATTTTGGCCTTGAGGGCTGGTAATACGTTTACATTTTTATTTCATGCTTTAGGATGGTAGTATCTCCCGCTGATGCTAGTGTCTGGTTGTTTCCCTGTCTCTTGTTTGGCTTCTCAACTCTTTCTTCACCAGTATAACCAATTCCTTGCATTATAGCCCCTCTTTTAAATGCTCTGATTAATTTTCTTTCTTTTTTTTTTTGTTTAGATTCTTAGAGAATCTAGCTCCCTTTCATATTTTTAAGCCTCAAGACAAATTATAATGGGATACAGCACCGTGTAACAAATTATACCTTAAAAAATAAAATAAATGCCAAGCTGTAATCTGTTCAAAAGTAAACTCGGTGTACCCTATTTGTATTTCCAAGATGAAAACATAATTGTTTCTCCTCTTTTTTTGTCATATTTTTTTAATCCATACCTGAGGATATTTTTCCAATTGATTTTTATAGAAAGTGGAAGGAAGGGGCAGAAACAGAGAGAAAAACATGGATGTGAGAGAGATGTGTCAATTAGTTGTCTCCCACACACACCCGAACAGGAGCTGAATATGAAGCCTGCAATGGAGGTACTTGTCCTTGACCAGAAT